TTATCTACGCAGTGATAAAATTTTTTTTTTTTTTACAGAATTCTAAGGTATTACATAGTAATAGTCTTTAAACATCCTTGAACATAGTGCATATGATTTACATTTCAATCCTTTCCTAAGAATTTGCACCTAATTTTTATAAAGTCTATAAGTTATCACACAATGTTTAAGTTATTGCATTACAGGATTCAAATCAGTAATCTCAGTTAGTAACTAACTTTTACCCAGGAGTAAATGATCCAAAAAATCTATAGAAATATCTTATTGATTCTTCATCTGTGTACTTATGATGTGAAGTTTGTAGGTTACAAATTATTGTCAAAGGTAGTTATCTCAATAATCTTATGCTTTGACCTTGACAAAGTGTCCTAAACAACAAAGTGTATTCCTACAAACATTCTATATGTAATTAGTATGATGAATATGGTATGATAAAGATATTCAAGATATTATTAAACCACAGATTATGGGACACTTGCATCTTTATTGGGGGTCTTATTGAGACCAATTTTAAATTCAAAATTAAACATGATACACACACAAACAAATTATATTTACCATTCCAGGAAAGTTATATAATAACATTAAATCCAGCATCTGAATATCTGTGTAATTTCTAGGGGGTTATAGAAATAAGATGAAAAATAAAAGGTTTAAAAGTATACTTCTCATACATAACAAGTCTTCAATAGAAATTGGTCAAAATAAAAGTCACATTCAGATACTTTGAGGTCTGTGAGAATTAATTTTAAAGAGTTCCTGCTATCAGAAAATCATATTTTCAATACTTGATTTGACTAGATCTCAGTTTAATAAATGGGTACATCTCATCCATAGTCAGTGTCTGACAGTAAAAAGATACAATCCTGGTTCCTTTCTTTGTCATCCTGTAAACCACAGTCTATGATAATACTGGTTAAATTCGTTGGAAATCATATTTATCTATGTGCTTCTTAAATCCTCCATCCATCTCCTGTTTGATTTTCTTGTTTCAGTGTTCCAAGAGAGGATATTCTGTTAGTCTTTGCATAATCTGATATTCTTTCACCATTCTAAGAGTATACATAGATCATTTCCATAAGCCCTCACTAGAGAATCCTGGAAAATAAAAAAAATGTCTTAGTTAATTTTTTTTTTCAATGTAATATAAGCTTGATGGAATTCTAAATATAGACAAAAAGGGTATAAATACAAGGTGTTACATCAGATTTTGACTTTTCATATTAACCATGGGTAACACCTCCAGTAAAGAAAAGAGTAAGGGAATGAGTAAAATTCAGTTTGGAGAGAGAATTCTTTCAGAGAAAGATGTAGACAGAGGTATACCAGTTAAAATAAAAAAAGATGGTACTATTGAGATCATTTCTCAAGAAGAATATAACCAATTATGTCCAGAAAAGGGTGATCCTAATGTGGGATAGGGTTAGTTAGGGCTAGGGTTAGTTAGGGTAAGAGTTAGTTAGGGTTAGTTAGGGCTAGGGGGTTAGGGTTAGTTAGGGTTCAGGGATCACTCTGGATTTTCATGTTGATGGGCCAATGGCCCATCAACATTAAAATCCATGGGCCATCCGCCAGGGGTATGGGGGCCGCGTTAGGCCCATTTGGGGTCCAGGGGCAATGCCCTGGCAGGGGGGCGAAGCCCCGGGAAAAATTGATATTTCATGCTATTTTGTGATGAATTTCAAGTAAATTTGATGGGTCTTTGAGGGTTTTTAAATGCCATTTCTGACACAACCAATTTCAGTTTTTTTAAATAAAATGAATAATATTATAAATATAAAAGAAAGTTTTTTTCTTTAAATTTCATCTCAGTACTGAAAAATGTCATATTGGAGAATTGTTTTAGACTTGAGTTCATACAATAGAGTATTAAAAAAATTGATAAACAGAATACCTAAGTTAATTCCTCGCCCCTTTGATTTTATTGATTTAGTTCTCGAAAGTTGTTGAAGAGCTAAACTATAAAGGATGCAAACTTACATGCACATTTCTCTACTGAATAGACCTGGAGCAGTTGCAGATTAAATTTGGTTCAAATGGTAGGGACTCGTTTTGTATGCAAAGAACTCGGAGCAAAAAACTTAAATGAGAAACTTTTTATTCGTTTGGAAAACATTTTAGTCCCATCTGATCAAATTCCAACCACGGGTGCAAAGTTAGCCACTTGGACTGGAAATGACGAACTTCGTTGCCGTTGACATCAGGAGTCAACGTCTTGGACTGTTCTTCTTAATCAGAGACCTCTGCCGAGTCTGGGAATGAAAAAGTTTCCGTCGTTTTATTTGTAAAACAAACGAAAGCTTTCGTTGTTTTGGGTCAGTTGGCCCAATACCAATCTTCGCCTTGGAGGCATTTCGGGCAAGTGTCTGGATACACAATGAGTAACTTGTACTTGTTTTGTTTCGAAATAAATAATCAAAGTTTTAAGAAATATTAGAACATATTACATAGTGGAGTATTACTTTCAAGTGTTTATTAATTAAATCATTACATATAATTTTAATAAATATAATTGACTCAGTATTCGGTAAAAAAAAAATCTAGTAGCGTAATCTAAACGAAGGAAATATTCCATGTACAATTCCGATTTTAGTCTTGATCAATCAGACGCTCTGCTGGTGTAAAGAACATACGCGGCTACAAAGAGTCTGATTGAACGAGTAACAGTATGCTCAGATACGTCTTGAAAACGGTCCTAAAATGCACCAATATAAGAGTTTCGACCCACAATTTTGCATCTTATAGCGCCATATCTGTAAGATATGCGCCAGACTGACCCCTTTCTAATTTTTTAGTGCGCCATTTACAAATATTGAGCGCCAATGGCGCAAAGGCGCAGCCCAAAGTGATCCCTGAGGGTTAGGGGATAAGGGGTTAGGGTTAGGGTTAGTTAGGGCTAAGGGGGATAGGGTTAGTTAGGGCTAGGGTTAGTTAGGGTTAGTTAGGGCTAGGGGGTTAGGGTTAGAGGGGTTAGGGTTAGGACTGCACTCAGTTGACCCACCTATCCCCTTAACCAATCAAAACTGATCACGTGATTTCTCTCAGCCAATCAGAATCCGTACCTATCTAGACCGCTTATACTACTAAGGTTGGATCCCCCCTCTGTATATAACAGGAAATTTATTAAAGGGAAATGCAGTATTTAATGCTAAAAATTGGTACAGAAAGAACTTGAAACTGAAAAAAAGTTGGTCACTAACACCCCCCCCCCCTCCCCGAAATAGGATTTTCAACTTTGGGCATATCCTTTTTTGCAGGTGATTGAAAAGAATTCTCTAGCGGCCCCCCCCCCCCCCCCATTTTCAAAAACGAGGCTGTCTATTGCTTTCATAAGTAGCAAACAACTTAAAATTAATGCATGATGTTTTGTTCGACGTCTTCATAATTTACTCTAATGAAATAATTACCCCTAACCCCAATATAAACGTTTATATAAATAACTAATCATGATTATAGGTTCTATAGATATTGATTACATTAGTCAGGCAAGCTTTTTTGAAAAGCTATTACTTGTTTCATTTAAGGTTTGAAAATCTTTTACATGTATATAATATTAGCACTATTTTTCAATAATGAATTAACTTAGTTCTTAGGTTATTTTACATTATTGAAGCGTGTTCTATGTCAAAGCATTGCATTACATTGTAACATGCACCAATTTAATTTTTTTTTTCATGGCCGGGAAGAGAGGGTTCACATTCCATAAAAAAGAGGCCCATGGGCCACATCGCTCACCTGAGTACTGTAGCAAGGAAAAAGTAGAAATTGGTTTATTATTGAAAAGTTTAAATCCAAAAGTAATCCCATGACCAATCATGGATTTGCTATTCTTTAAAGAATTTTCCTATATATTTCTATGCAAAACCTTGGTCGGCCATTGTGGTCCCGCCCTACCGCCGGGGGTAATGATTTAAACAAATTTGAATCTACACTACCTGAAGATGCTTCCATTTAAATATGATGAATTATGGCTTTGCTATTCTTGAGAAGAAAATTTTAAAAGAATTTTCCCATATATTTCTATGTAAAACTTTGGACTGCCATTTTGGCTTCACCTTATACCCCCAGGGGTCATGATTTGAACAAATTTGAATCTACACTCCCTGAGGATGCTTTCATTTAAATATGATGAATTAAGGCTTTGTCATTCTTGAGAAGAAGATTTTTAAAGAATTTTCCCATATATTTCTATGTAAAACCTTGGTCAGACTTTTGGCCCCGCCCTACTCCCCAGGGGTCATAATTTGAACAATCTTGAATCTACACTACCTGAGGATGCTTCCATATAAATATGATGAATTACGGCTTTGTCATTCTTGAGGAGAAGATTTTTGAAGAATTTTCCTATATATTTCTATGTAAAACCTTGGTCGGCCATTTTGGCCCTGCCCTACCCCCAGGGGTCATGATTTGAACAAATTTGAATCTTTAAATTCACTACTTGAGGATGCTTCCATATAAATATGATGAATTATGCCTTTGCTATTCTTGAGTAGAAGATTTTTAAAGAATTTTCCTATATATTTCTATGTAAAACTTTGGTCGGTCATTTTGGCCCTGCCCTACCCCCGGGGGTCATGATTTGAACAGACTTTAATCTAAACTACTTGAGGATGTTACCCCATATAGGATTAGAGATATTAAAATTAGTTGTTGATTATTCAGGCATATAGAGATTACTAGAATATTTAGAGTCTATTTTTTACCCTTTGATAAGAATGGTCAGTATTAGATTGATTCAGCATTCATAAGACTAATAAAATTGTATCCACACAGGTAATTGCATCGTCTCAAGCCAGGAGTCTGCATATATAGCTCTCTCCAGATGGGAGAGGAGCGTACATTTTTGCCATGGTTTGCGATGATGAGGTAATTGTTGATTACATAAAGCTGCTACATTTTCTACACTGAAAGAAAACGATTGCTTTATTAAATTTAATGATCAGTAAATGATCTGATTATTAATAAAAGATAAAACATATAATAAATTTAAGGTCCCTATTTTCAAAAGTTTTTAAATAAAACCATTTTACACATTCATATTTTGTTATAAACAGTTTGTACATTCAAAATTGTATATATATTGTCACACACTTCGTATCATATTCTACTAAAATACCCATTTCTCATTTTAATGAAAAAAATTCATAGTTGACTTTTATGTATATATTAGATATTTATTTTACTCCATGTACTGGATCACTTTTACATCACCTGAATGAAAACACCCTACCCACAACCTCCCCTTACTGTCCACACTCAGTCCAGCAGGACTCTGAAGTCCACAATTGTCTATACATTTTAGAAACTGTCCATTCTGATCTAAGATATGAAGACAGTCATTATTAAGATCAGTTATTATGATCTGATTAAGTGAGTCTGTACTAATGTACACAGGTCGGAATGGATTATTCCTCCTGGCTGGTGTACCATCATAACGGAATCGGACTCTTCCTGTCTTGTCCATCACTATCACTATATTGGCATTCAAATCAGCAGCACAAATGTCCCCATTATTACTCTCCTTCATAAGAACTCCACCATTCCCACCTTTAAATATATTTTGTCCACGGTCATCTTTATCTATTTCTTGTGTTGCTGTTTGTCCCTGATAGCGGACTATTTTATAACGACTTCCATCAGCAGTACGCAAAGAAACTAGTACGTCTCCTGATCTAGTACAACACAGTCCCATTGGATGCCATCCCAGAGGTAGAGTAATCAGTGTCTCTATCCTCCCCTGTCTGATGATGTTCACTGTTTTACTTTTCATAAAACTGTTTATCAGTTCTCCCTGACTGGTCACTGAAATATCACCTGGATAAGGTTCACATTTGGTGATGATCTTCTCCTTCATAGATCCACGTATGTCAATACGTCTTATGAACTTGTCTTGACCACAAGCCCAAGCTTCATCGCCTTCAATACAGATAATGGGACCTAAAGGCTTTAATCCAGTACGAATGGTAGCAATAACTTTAGCATTCTCCAATAATTTTCTCACAGATAAAATGGAGACTTCATCTGTCAGACTGGATAGTGATGTCTGTGTAATAGTAGCCTTGTATTCTCCTAATTCTATGCTGAGTTCTCTCCCCTGGACTGTGTTGCTATTTAGGGAAGGAATCTTCACATCAACATCTGTTGGAATGTCTCTGAAATCCTTTAATTCTGATTTGTGGCTTGTAACATCAGACACTTTATTGGACTTCAGGATTTTATTGTTTTCGTTTATTATGAATTCTAATTTTGACCCTGAATCCTGAAGCCTGGACTGATGGGATCTGAGAGCTGTGAGTCTTCTCTCCTTCATTTTACTAATGGTTGATTGTAGTGTGTCAAATATGTTGTCTACTTCTTTATGCCAGGTTTTTCTCAGATTTTCTCCCTCTCTCTCCATTGTTTTAAATTTTTCAATCATATTAGATATCTTCTGATCAATGTCTGCTCCACTTAGAGTGAATCTTGAAATAAAATTCTCTATTTCTTCTGTTTCTTTTTTGATTTCTTCTTTCATCTGTTGTACCACCTCTGACATATCTATGACAGCATGACCCCTGTGGGGACCTGTTAGACATCTGAAGCAGACGGGGACACCACACTGTTGGCAATGTCCTTCATATTTCTGGTTTGGATGAGAAGCACATGAGGAGAATACGAGCCGTTCTCTTCTGTCTTTAAAAGGAACAATGTCATGTGTTTCAGACTTCAGACTTTCTACATGTTTATTTATACAGCCTCCACACAAACTGACCTGGCAGCTGTTACAGAATTGCTGGGTGGGGTTGTCACAAAGATCACACGTGATCACGTCCTGTGCCCAAGTAGAAGAAGACGCCATTTTCCCCCTGAAAGATATAATCTGAAGACTTAATTAAAAATATTCCTGTAGGCCTACTTGTAACATTGAAAATCTTCACCCCAAGAAAGCTTTGCCAAATGTGGCACATACCCCGTAGTCTAAATGCATACACTATCAACATTTTATTGATGATAATTACCTGCAGCTTTTTGTACTTCTCGTCCAAGCAGTTCCCGGAAATTTAACTTTCGGTTTTACAAGTTTTGGGGCGTAAAAAAATCAAAGTGCTGAAAGTACTAAATCGAGGTGACGTCTTCTTAGCTCCATCATTTTTAAAGTTTTCATTTATTGAATTAGTTTTATCAAAGTTGTTTCATTTCTTGTTTAGTTTATTTACATAAAATACACTACATATGTAAACATTTTCTCTTCTCATCTTTCCAAATTTTCAGAGCCTTGGAAAAGTGACAAATATATTATTTAACATTCTCTTCAATATTATTATTAAAATTCTTCTTATTATTTCTCTTTTTAATTTAATGTGTATTTATTGACAAACATGAACTTAATAAATGAAAACAAAGACTGATAAATTTATCACGATATTATGAAATCTAGAAGTACAACTGATTGCAGACTAAGCGACTTTATTATGCAGTCGTATATTATTTCGTATATTATTATACGAAAAGCCATATCTTCCTATTCGAGCTCTTTGTTAAGATATTTAATTATTGTTATGAGTTTTCCTCAATCTGATAGAAGCATCAAATAAATATATATTTAAAAAAAAAAATAGATTCAAAACGGGGATGGGGAGGGTTTGTTTCTTTTACATTTTTTCATACCCCCCCCCTTAACCATCACCACCTTAAAAATAGATTCATTTGACTTCTATCTTGAAATGAATTTATTTATTTCATTTTCCTAATATTTAAGAATAAGCTATGTTTTTTTTTATCTTAAACATCTTAAGCCACTGTCCGGAGTCTGCAGGCATCTGTCTCCTTAGAATGGCACTGAAACAGGAGGGCCGTGGCAGTGTGGTATGTGACGATATATACATGTAGCTTTAGTGGAAGTTGTTGAAATCTAAACATTTGGACAAATGAATCAACAAGCAAATTCAAAGAATTGTGGTCCCCCGCTTTCGGTGTCTTTGTGGGTGAAATATTATTTTTAAGGGTCAAGGTCAAAAGGTCAAAGTTATTGGTATCCCATGAAAGGTCTTGCCACAAAGAAAACATATTTGAAATATGAAAGTCCTAGTATCTACCGTTCAAAAGTTGTGACCAAGGTTAAAGTTTTTAAAAAGTAGTTAAAACTCCAAGGTCAAGGTCAAAGGATCAAAGTTCTTGGTATGCAATGAAAGGTCTTCTCAAAATAATTACATAAGTGAAGTACGAAAGCCCTAGCCTTAGGCCACAGTTTTTATATCTTTCGGTTTACGGATCCGCCGACCCGATTTTTTCAGGTTCTAGAAAATAAAAATAATGGATTTTATGACCTCTTTTGGTAATTTTCCGGAAAATTCATGTCTGATCATCAAGGTTTTAAAATTTATAATGCGTCTGAGTCCCAAACATGTAATAAAACGTCTCATTCTTTCAAAACGTTTCAGTGACTATAAACAGAAGCGTGTAAATATGGCGGCACGCATGTCTTTATTTTGAAGTGCAGTTAAAATATCTTGGAAATAGCACGATGTCCAGAAACTGTTGACAGAAAACGAAAGAAGAGCAAACTATGGGAGATGCAATATTTCTTTTCCCCTAAGAGTCCTGTTAAAACGTAATCTTCTGTGATTTTTTGGAAATAAAAATAACCACCAAATATATCAGCTGTTTCAATGACATAACTTCGCTATTTTTTCTCATTGGTAATATTTTTCTTCCAATTCAAAAGTTAGGAATTAATATGTTGAAAATGGACAAAAATTATCGAAATTGCAAACAAAGACTGTAAGTTTTTTCAAACTTGAATTTTATTCCCCAAACCCAGACACATGCTAAATGTTTTGTGATAAGTGTATGAAACAATAAAAATATCGATATAACCAGAAAAATAGATCGTTATCATGGCTATAGGTCCCAGATACATGCCTTGTTGTTGACATTTTACTTTGACCGCCATTGATGCCATATGCCATAATAATCAACTAGTTGATTGTGGGCAGTACATGGCAGAAGCAGAAGCAGAAGCAGAAGATAGATATAAGGTCATGCTAATAAAAGGAAATAGGCAACATTGTAGGGTTTCACTAAAAGAACTTGGAAGTAAAGATAATCTGTGACTTCTTCTTCATAACTAATATAATATACAAGATTATGAATCTTAATCAAAGTAAGAAAGAAAATAAATGAATATAAGTCATGCTCCTAATATTCCAATATATCTTTAATATTTCAAAAGAGATTTTTTCTAAAGATTTTTTATTGATTTCATATAAGATCTGAAGTAAACCTTCAGTAAAATCGTTTGTAGTTCCTTTTATTTGATTCTCATTTACTACAAATAATTTTTCCAAATTTTAGGAAATGTTTCTTTTTTTTTTACCAATTCAAAAGAAGGGTGGTGGTGTTTTTTGATTTTTTTTTTAAATCAGTGATGTTCCGTTTGAAAAAAGTTTCAAATTATTTTTATTTTTATTTTGTCGCCACCCAATGGATATTTTGGTTGAAAAAATCCGTAAACCTAAAGATAAAATAACTTTGGCCTTAGCGTTTAAAAGTTATGGTCAAGTTTAAAGTTTTTTCAGAAGTTCATAAATCTCCAAAGTCAAAGTCAAAGTTGTTGGTATCCATTGAAAGGTCTTGCCACAAAGAATTCATATGTGAAATATAAAAGTCCTTGTGTCTACCGTTCAAAAGTTGTGACCAAGGTTATAATTTTTAAAAAGTAGTTAAAACTCCAAGGTCAAGGTCAAAAGGTCAAAGTTCTTGGTATCCAATGAAAGGTCTTCTTACAGGAATAAAATATGTGAAGTATGAAAGCCATAGCCCTTACCGTTCAAAAATTATGGTCAAGGTTATAGTTTTTTCATAAGTACGATAATTTCCAAGGTCAAGGTCAAAAAGTTAAAATTGTTGGTATCCAATAAAAGGTCTTGTCCCAAAGAATAAATATGTGAAATATTAAAGTCCTAGTACCTACCATTCAAAAGTAATTTATGGCCAAAGTAAAAGTTTGGAATTTTCGAGTAAAAGTTAATCAAACTCCAAGGTCAAGGTCAAAAGGTCAAATTTGGTAGTACCCAAAGAAAGGTCTTATCACAAAGAATACACATATGAAATATGAAAATCATAGCTCCACAAAATCAAAAGTTATGGGCAAGGTTAAAGTTTTTGTGACGGACGGACAGACTGACGGACAGCTAGACAGCTAGACGGACGGACGGACAGACGAATGAGATTTAATGTCCCCTCGCTTTCGCGAAAGCGGGGGACAACAAATGTAATAGGAAAGCGAAGGCCTTATTCAAATTTTGAAGCTAGCTATCAATTTACAAATTCTTTTATTTTTTCATTTAATTTTGCAAATACATGTACAGACCTAAAATACTAGTAGAAAACACATGCTAATTTACAATATATGATAGAAAATCGGTGCTATAATATACAGTTATGCCCCTTTTATAATGTTGTCATGCTCTGATAATTTTGCACATGTTGCTTGTCGAGGAATCTCTGATCCGTTTTGTAACAACCACTCGAGATAAAATGTCGCATATTGTCAGAAATAAAACTGCGTTGTAATGCAACACTCAATGCAATAAATGTTTGCATTACTACATTCTCAACCGCTTAATGATATATTTCTTTCATTAAGTAGCGATTTAGCATTATAGCGGTCGAGAATATCAATTATTAATGCAATAATTTAGGACATTATTGAAATTGCTTCCTACATTGTACTGACTTGCCTTTATCTGAGATTTGGCGGCTACTGATAGATCAATGTTACAAGTGCCCCCCTTAAAAAACAACTGATGCCTTTTTCCCCTGCTTGTTAGAATACATTTTAGCATTGATCTCTACAGCTTCATGGGGAGGGGGGTGTCCTTCCTTAATTATAAACTTGGAGATACTAGTAATATGCAAACCTGGAAATCTTTTCTTTTCTGCAAGTTTAAATTTTTCAATTCTTCAAAACACTTTCTTATCTTTACTACGCGCTCCACCTATCTACACAATTTATATAATGTTTTTAAAGTTTATTCCATTAAAAAAAGTTGAGCATAGTACAAAGTGTGTTACAATATGATACAAATTTGTATACACTGTACATAACAAATAATGAATTGGTGAAATGGTATCACATATAGCTCTTCAGAATAATATTTATTTTTCATTAATAACTAGGTCTTTAAAATATTGAAATTAAATTTCATAGGTAAAAAAATCATAATGAAAAGTAAAAAACCAAGGACAACAAAAATTTATTGGCCCCATGTAATCAACATCTTTCTGTGCATATACAAAGATATTTTGTAATACCTTTAAGAATTTGATCCTATAAAAATCTGCACTAAAAAAGTTCAATATTTTTAAGAGTTTTACTGAGCGTCATGAAAAAATTGATGTTTGACCCTTGAGCAAGATGTTGGACCTATCAATGAGATATTAAACTGCTGGATACAATGGATGAGATAAGGTAAATCTCATTTGCATTCCTTGGTATTCGACCGTGATGGAATAGACCGAGCTTAACCTCAGAGCTGGTAAATAAAATATACACAAGGGAAGCCAGCACAGGATACATGCATGTCAAAATAAAATTAATATTTTAAAAAACTATCACAAAAAATTATTGTGTTCTTGAGCAAATTGTGTTTTGCCCTTGAACCAGTTTGTTTGCCTTCGGCCTAGCCCTTGAACCCAGTCAATAAATGTATAACATTGCTATGGCCAATGTTCTCATAAATCCGATTAACCGGTACATGTACAATAACTGGACATAATCTTATCAAAGGGAAGGAAACTAGATTCTTAACATTCCAGTAATCGCTTTGTGTACCTAATAATCATTAACTAATTAAGATCATAAATTGATTTCATATTTGAAATATGAACAAATTATTCACAAAAGACCCCCCCCCCTCAAAAAAAAAGACTTCATTAAGTTCATTTATACTTCTGTACAGTAATATTTGTTTATTTACAGCTGAATTATCTCCCCTTGTCAGTTTTAACACTTTAATCTTTGGCTTTCTTCAGCATGCTCATAATGGCTTTCCCCTTCTTCTCCCAAACATTAAACTCGTCCTTGAACTTCTCTATGGTAGGTGGCTCCTCCTGTAGCTGTTGGAGCGTGACGGTGGTGTCGTATTTGGGATTGTCACGGAGCCACTTAGACAAATGAATCTGACACTGGTCACTTTCTTTGTTACGATTCAGTGATTGTAAGGTGGCGATCAGCGTGTCAAAGCAGACGTGGACCCACTTCAGATAGACCCCACAATCTGAAACATTTACAAAAACTGTATTTATTATAAAGTTTAATCAGCAAACAGTTGTTGACTGGGGTAGAGGGAAACAGTTGATTTGTTAGACTGGAATGCCCGCGGCTGTCAACAGTTTGCATTCTGGTCAATTGTTTCTCGAGACTCCTAACAATAACTGTTTTGTTATACTCCTTTACTGAATGTGAAGTTAATTCGGTTTAGCGCCATATGAAGTCAGCGGGCAACAGTCTTCTTTAAAAGTCTTTTTTAACAGTTCCTAGACCGACAGCCGGGGAAAACTGTAAAAAGTCTGTTGAACTATTGGACTTTTTAAAGTAAGAAATAATACAGTGACTGTTTAGTAGGGGTATGTTTTAGGAGAGACTTACCTGGTGCGTTCACTACTTGCTGCAGGAAATGGACGGCCTCCCTTGGTTTATCCATAACCTTATAGAAGGTCCCCAGTGTGGCATTAGCTAACATTAAGAAGAAGCTGTTCTCTGGTTGACACAGCTTCATGTATAGAACACTTCTCTTTAACATCTCTTCAGCCTGCTGGAATCTATAAAACAAAGAAAACTTAATTAACAGATTAATAATAACTGATTTTCATACTGAACTGGACCCAAATTATGAATTTTTTTCTTTTAGTGACTTTGAACTTGCCAAATGACCTTAGGTCAAGGTCATAACAAAACCTTAGGTCATAAGCAATCTTTGTGTAAATTTGTAGATTCTACCGGTACTTTCCTCCACAAGAAAGAAAATAAAATCAGTAGAGTATAATAAAATAAGTTAACTGGTATCTGACACCTTAGGCTCCATCTCATTCACTGATATCTGAGATCCTATGTTCCATTTTATTTACTGATATTTGAGAACTTACTGGTCCATTATGGGCTAGATCTCGCCCAGTAGTTGACACATCTTATTTACTGATAGCTGAGAACTTACTGGTCCATTATGGGCTAGATCTCGCCCAGTAGTTGACACATCTTATTTACTGATAGCTGAGAACTTGCTGGTCCATTATGGGCTAGATCTCGCCCAGTAGTTGACACATCTTATTTACTGATACCTGAGAACTTGCTGGTCCATTATGGGCTAGATCTCGCCCAGTAGTTGACACATCTTATTCACTGATATCTGAGAACTTACTGGTCCATTTTGGGGTAGATCTCGCCCAGTAGTTGACACATCTGGGCTGTTCGGAGACTGATTTCTCCGTATGTGGAAGAGGCGATCAGCAGTGCCTGTTTGGCCTCGATTTCAGCTTGTTTGAGGGTCAGCTCCTGGGCTTCCTTAGATGAGTGACGTGCCTTCCACTGCAGAGCTGAGGCTAAAAAGGTACAAAAATAAACTTAACATAAACTAGAAATACAGTTGAATTTCAGCATCTTGAACATTGATTTCTCAAACACCATAGGCATGTCAAATTGAATTTGAAGTCTTCACCCCATAATTTCCATTTTTTTTTTTAACCTGGATATTTTGAAGGCCCTTCCAGTTGAGGATAACAAGATTTGACAGTAGTTATGTTTTGATAAACATAAAACTAAAGGCAAAATGGTAATCTTTTTTTTATTCTAATGAACCACATTTTATTACCTTATTTAGATAAAATACTCGGTCCACCTCCATCAATAGAAGACTTAGATAACACTGACCTGAGGTATGTAGGAACATGGCCATCATTCCGTGGTACTGATCTGGGAGCTGAGCCCGGGCAATACGCAGGGCCTCCGTAGCGTGGTGATAATACGCCAGGTCCTCAAAGTCCTGAATGACCATCAGGGCCGCACACACTGCCCGATGGGCCAGGGCAACATCTATCATCTCACAGCCATACGTTTTCTGGGCAGTCCTAAGGGTATACTGTAAAAAAGAAAGATAACTTGCAGGAGAGACATCTTGATATAAAGGTATTTTAAATGGCCTATTCACTCACATCAAATGGGTATTTTTCATTCGTGCTATTTAAGGGAATCATTGTCTAGTTAGAAGAGTATGCCAGGGCATCAATGATAGATGGAAACGTGACAATTTGCATAAGATGACGCAAATAATAGATGGTTTACAATAACCAAACCAGAGTTACAGAAAGAAACATATTACAACGAAGCAATATAACCTTAAAATCTGTGTACATATGTTTACTAACATGTTACAAGAGATGGTGTCCAGTCAACTCGTACACAGACAGAGTCGTACACAAAGCGACTCGTACACAAAAAGTCAACTCATACACAAATCAGAAGTCAACTCGTACACAACGTTTTATTTACAATTGTTAAGAAGTATTTTTATATGGATAATGTATAATCTAGAAAAAATAAAATAAGGACGAAAAGAAATTTAAATTTATACTTTAAATAATGGTTTATCATTTTAATAATGTCTCTTGTTAGGTCTAAGGAATTCAACCAATTATATTAATTGTTAAACTAACACAAGCGCAGCGGTTTCTAAAATGGATCGGCGACAAACACTAATTACAATGTGCTCCTAATTTGGTCCAAATTTCTCCCTTCTTTAAACTTCACCTGATGGTGCTAGAAACGTCCTGCTGTAAAAACTAAGTTTTTAAAATTTTTTAACAGTCCTACTATACAGAGTACTTTAGAGTACACTAATTTTTATAATTTAACTGCTCTGTGTAGGTTTTTCTACATTGGTTTGAAACATAATAAATTTAACATATATTTTAAATAAAATGTGTATGTGTTCTTTACATTTTAGAAGTTATTTTACTCTATCATACCCTGTTTAAGTTAAGTATTCCTTTTTTAAATTTGATAAATTTGATAAATGTTTATGGAAATTGTATGTAATGATACGATATACCATTACAATGTTTCGATGTATTTTGATCAAATTTACTATCTACACAATATATTACTAATTTGAATAACTAAACATTATGGTGCCATTAAATTTCTTACTTTCTAAATGTAATATATATATTTATATCCATATTACTTGCAAGAAAGAAGACTATTTTTAAAATGTAAAGTTAACGTATTAAAATTTGTTGTGGTGATATTTAACAATTAGGAATCCAATTTAATCAAATTTATTATGTCGTTTAAGATATAAAATTGTAAGATATAAAATTAAATCCACAGAATCAAAAAAATGGACATCTCATTTATGTATCAAATATATATTTATATAACAAAAATATATACAAATTGACACCGACGATCTAATTTCTAAGAAATTCAAAATCTTGTGGGAAAAAAATCTATCTGCACATATGGTATATAAGGTAAATTCAGAGGCATAAAATAGATTGAAATGTACAAGAAAAACCTTTGTGTACGAGTTGACTCCTCAATATTTGTACACTGAGGAAAACTATACCTTAATCACATAGGAAAACCTACTTATGAATGACATTAGTTTGTGTACGAGTTGACTTCTGATTTGTGTACGAGTTGACTTTTTGTGTACGAGTCGCTTTGTGTACGAGTCGGTTTGTGTACAAGTTGACTGTAAATCCAAGAGACATGCTTGAAATGGACATTAACAGAGCTGTATGGGTCCATAAAAGAAATGACATATACATGTGTATCACAAGGAAGCAATAGAACTTCAGATTATCTGTGTAGACATGTTACCTTGGCAATCTCGAGTGCCTGCCTGTCTTGTTTGAACTTGCTGGAGAAATGAGAGAAGTGAAGCAGGGCTTTGACATACAAGGGATGGCTGGTCCCAAAGTGATGCCTACAGAAAATTGTAAAGAGAAATGAAATATTAATTTCACTGGGACACCTCTAGCAACATGTTTTATCAGATTCTTATCTTCATTTTACATATATACTTAATAAGTTATTATTCATTGTTTTGGAGAGAATAAAGTCAGGTACCTAGCCTGCTGGACAGCTTGAATGGCTAAAGTTTCTGCTCTCTTTATATTCCATCTCGCGCAGTATGCCATCACTCCTGCACACAGAGCATTAACCACATCAGCGGGCGATTCCTGATTCATGCTCTGAATAAAAAATACAGGAAAAAGTTTTTACAGTATTTTTTCATCATGTTCTCTATAAGGGATATAATGAATATTTAAAGAATAAATTGAATTGGCTTATGATGATATATAATTGAAGTCCACTTATGCTATATATGTTAAAAACAAACAAGCAAAACAAAAAAAAAACTTTTATTTTAGTTTAATTGACAAATATTTAAAAGTTAAGCCCCTCACTCTGAGCTAAAGTAGGATTATGAAAAACTATAAATAAAATCAATATTTAAAAGGTAAATTCTATGGGTGAATGGCTGGTCAATTTAAAGCTCTGCATTTTAAAATCAAACTACTATATAAGAATTAATCTTTTCCTCTGCTTATCCTTCTTTAAGTACAGTTTAAATAATAGGAATTGCTTCACCATTAAGACATCTAGAAAAGAGGCAATCTTAATTTTGATTTGTACAGGCTGTGTATTGCCCACCAGAGTGTATAACTACATATCATTTTCTTATTAACATTCATATAAAATATTTTTAAAATAAAAATTAACAGATCAATCGAACCATATTGCAGCTCACCTTAATGGCTTTTTGTGCCCAACCAAAGGCTGACGTGGCAGATCCATACTCCAGCATCAGGGTGGACATCTCCACGTAAAATGGCGTCTTGTCCAGAATGTCCTGTCCAAACGACATCATAGAAATCTGCCATTCCATCTCCGTCACCAATCCGTACGCGTTCTGAACCTTCCTGAAGTCGTAGTTCATGTTCCTGAAATGCATCAGCTTGACGAACCCCTTGTACTTGGTGATCCAGGAATCAACATTGTGTGAGAGGTTGAGGACAGCCAGGAGGATGGTCATTATTCCCTCCGCCTGCTGGAAATAGCCATACTTACCAAGGAAATCCATCAACGCAAAGCCCAGCTTAATGGCTGACTGCGTGGTGTCCGATCCCACACGGGTCACGTCCATCCCCTCCAACACGGAGCCGAAGGATTGCACAATGTCAAGGAGAAGATCTACGTCTGATCTCTCCAACATCCTCAAATACTTAAAATACATGTGGTGGTTTTTTGTGTCAAATAAAACATCGTGAACCGCTTCACACATGCAGAGCTCAAACCCCTCAGGCAGCTGCTTTCTCCTGGCTAGTACCGCTACCATCTCCAGTTTTCTGATCTTTTCAAACACAAGTCTCTCTTGTTCTAGCTGAGCTTTGTCAAATTTGTCTTGTGAAGTTTCAAGCGCTCTGAACTGATCTTCAGGGATCTGTTACCCACAAAAAATCAAAATAATTCAAAATCACAATAGAAAATAAAGAAATGACTTTTGAGTAATAATGGATCTAATTTTTTGTACTTTGTAATTATCTAGTTTTTGGAAGCAAGATAATGATATGTACATTGTTGAAAATTTAAATACATCCACTACACTAAGTAGTGGAAATGAATCTTTATTTCTCAGACCTGCAGAAGGGATCTGAAGTTGTCAGGAGTGGCGACCCACTGCTGGAAGAACCCTTTGACCAGTGTCATGGTGGTGGGTGGTTTGTCACGGCTGACCACTCCCTTATCGTCTCTCTCCGGGGCATTATCTCTGGCCCCCTTCTCCATCATCAGTTCCTCCTCCATTCGTTTCTTGGTGTAATTATGGCCCTCGGCCCTAGTCCTTCCCTTCTGTTGGTCTGAGATTTCTGGCAGTGGTTCATAATGTGGCAGTTTCATGGAGGCAGTGGAGCTACCGCTGAATTTTGAGGATTGAGACACTGGGCGGTGTATGACAGTGTTATCAAGGAACTCTACGAGCGAGCGATACCGCTTCTTTGTCTCAGCGTTAGCTCCCTCTGGGGATAAGATGGATTGTCTAAATATATTATACCAGTCTGGTACATGTGTTTTAGTTGTTACAATGTCTACAAGTCTCCTGGCTTTATCTGCTGGTGTTGTTCCTCGGTCTATGCGTTCACGGTCAAACTCGGATAATACTCCCGTCTGCAGTAAATGGTTAATGATATGTTCAGTTCGCAGTTCCTGCACCAGAGCAATTCTGTTGATTCTCAGACGCATTATATTTTGTCTGTCAACACCCGACTCACTGTGTAATGACTCTGTCATCCTAAAACAATTTTTTTAAAACAAAATTGTAAGCTCATACATTTTTTAGAATAACATAAACATTTGTTTTTAGTGGTCTACACATAGTGACATACCCTGTTTTATAGAATCTGTAAACAAATACTAGTATTACCCCAAAAAATCTTTTTTATAAAAGTCTTATTAAAAAGTTTTGATTTATTATTTCCATTTCTTCTCCACATTATTGAAAGTATAGCTACTCGGTATACAACATGTAAAATGGTTTCGAGCACCTGCAAGTGGCCCTAGCAACCACACATTTTCGGTGTTTTTTCAAATAATATAGAAAATACAATCTAGTTCAATTGATTAAAAAAAATCTAGATGTATAAGTACTTCATGCTTACATTTTGTCTGCTAAGTGTTATCCAATATTTTTTTTTCTAAATCGTCAAAACATTTTGCAGGGTTGCCGAGCTCAACTAATGTTCTGCTACACGCGAGTTTCTTACCGGAAGTGAAGAGTAAAATCGTAACACGCGCGTTTGGTAAAAGTAAGCACAACATTGACAGACGAAACATGCTGTCTTTGATACGACATTCATCAAAAGTAAGAAATCTCCCGCTAGGATTACATCGATCTAGTATTTGTTTATATGGTTTAACTCTTTAATAATGCTTAGAAAGTGTAATTAAGCTTAAATTTTATTTTTTAAATGCATTTATACTGTCTTATCAGCTTATGCAAGTCTCATGGTTCATGATCTTCAGAACTTGCCAGCATGCAGCTTACATTTTTTTGTTTTATTTTGATTACAATAGAGCTGAGTATTTAAGGATTCATAATTAAGTAAAATCCAGGTAAATCCTGTATTTTTTACCCCTGTTATCTGCAACAAACATGACAAATAACAATATATTTTTGCAATTTCAATTTTGAATACTCATTTCAATAAAATCATCCTTCCTTTGGCATGTCTGATGGTGGGTTTAATATTTCAGTTTCTCTGTGATCAGTTACTTCGGCCAGTAGGATGTCGATTTTACCGAGTTCCTATCGTGATAGAGAAGGGAGACGGAGGAGAGCGGGCTTACGACATTTACTCCAGACTCCTCATCAGTAGGATCGTGTGTGTGTTTGGTCCAGTAAGTCCTCTCAGCAGTAAAGGATTCATTTCTGTTCAGATCTATTTGACAGAACTTGATTTCAGTGAATACATGTCATTGAATCAAATCTGGAAAGATTATCTAAAGATTCTTTTCTGTATTAGAGTTCTCATAATCTTTCTCCACTAAGGCACTTCAGCAATTCAGAATTGCTTTCAAATTTTATTAATTACTTGTGACGAGACCTTTGGGATGCATCATTATATGATTTTAATCTTAAGAATTGATGTAGGACAATTTAATCTTGATCATAACTTTATTTAATGCAAACACTTTAATCTTTTTTTTGAATGAAGGACCGACCAACAAGACAAACAAACAAGACAGTTGCAATATACTGTAATTAATTGCATTTAAATCACGTAGACACCAAAAGTGAAAGGCAAAAATTCTTTGAAATTGCTTGTGCATGCAGCTGTATTAAAAAAAAAACTAGCTTGTTTTTCTATGAATATCTCTTGGTCAACATGTTAATGAAAGAATTTTGGAACAGTGTCAGTTATCACAATATTTTTTTTTTCATTTATGTTTTGTTCAGGTGACAGAGGAAATGGCATCAGCAGTTGTGGCCCAACTTCTTTTCCTGCAGTTCCAAAACTCCAAAGAGCCAATCCACATGTACATTAACTCCCCTGGAGGGATTGTGACACAGGGGCTAGGGATTTATGACACAATGCAGTATATCACCCCTCCAGTGGCTACCTGGTGTCTGGGCCAGGCCTGCAGTATGGGAGCCTTTCTTTTGGCAGCTGGTGCCCCAGGAATGAGGAAAGCTCTACCTAACTCCACAATAATGGTGCATCAGCCTTCAGGGGGTGCCGGGGTAAGTTACATATGTACAGGATTCAGGGGGTGTGGGGTAAGTTACAGGCTTCAGGGGGTGCCGGGATAAGTTACAGGCTTTAGAAGTGTTGGGGTACTATACAGACATCAGAAGGCTACAGGTCAGAGGGGAACCAGGGTAGCTTAATACAGCTTGCTTCAGTAGGGAAGTTTACAGGCATCAGCAGGTGCCAGGGTAGATTACTCTCATCAGAAGGTGCTAGGGTAGGGTTGCGGATTAGCTAATGTTTGATAGATTACAGTGTAGGATCTTGAGGTGCCAGGGTAGGTGACAGCAGGAGGAAGTGCTGGGGTAGGTTACAGGCAACAGGGGTCATGATCATCAGAAAATGCTTGGATATAAGGTTACATACATCATATGTATTTGGAAAGGAGACAGTTTTTAGCGTGTGCTTGGTAAGTTACAAGCATCAGGAGGAGCTGGAGTTGTCTAACTCTTTATATCTCTCTTCTGTGCATTGAAAAAATGATGTAAGTAAATTTGAATTTGGTACTTTGATTTTTCAAAGGGCAGAGAATGTAGATTAAAAATTATTTGTCTGTTTTTTGAATATTTTATGATGTACATGTACAACTGTATTTCTGCAAAAGAACTGATATAGTGAAACATGCTTTAATAAAGTGAATTTACTTATAACTTATTGGTGCTTATAGCAATGTGATTTTCAATCCCCATGGCTTTAAATACAGTCCAACCTCTATATCTCGAATTTGATAGGACCAAGAAAAAACTTCGTGATATCAGAGGATTCAAGATATTAAGGGTAGAGATACTAATGAAATACTTGATCAGGAATCATTCGACATATCCATGTATTCAAGATATCCTTGTAGGAGATATCAGAGTATATTTGTAAACTCATTGGATGTAACATTGTAAGCATACTGTTACTATACTTAAAATAGCAGGCTTCATATTTTATTGGCCTTGGCGCAGACAATGATGCACTAATTCATGAATATCGCTACTAATTCATTTATAAATAGAATATGTGTATAGCGCTAATTCATGATTACGCCAATAACTCTATATCCATTGATTGCGCTAAATTTTGAATTTGTCAAATTATGTACACATACAGTATTATAATCGTCCATCCATACCTCTCCGTTATAAGTGAGTTTTACTAAACAATTCATTGACGGCTGTTTTTTGTTTATTCAGGGCCAGGTGACAGATATACAGATACAGGCAGAACATTTACAGAAAGTCAAACGACGACTGAATGAGATTTATGTCCAACATACCAAGATGCCATATGAAACCATAGGTAGGGCTCCACTACTTTCCTTATTAGCTGATTTTCTGTGTAATGTGGATGGTGGAAAGAGATACATTGAATTGGTTATATAATATTTGTCAGTTTTTCATGTATCATATATAAAAAGCTTAACATTTCAACCTTTAATAAGAATGAATCCAGAAACAGTAAGACTTGATTATAATGAACTCAGTTAAAAGGAAATGTAGTTATAAAGTATTTTGTATGATTCCACATGGCAGCTTTTCATTATGTTCCTTAGGCAGACAGAGTCTTAGTTCTAAGGAATTAAAAATTGAAGTCCCAGTTTCTTACAGAGCTGAGTTGTACTGTTTTGTGTTCCATATGCCTCACAACCTCGTAGCTATGACCTTGAATCAGGATCACCCAAACATTATGGGTTTAATGTTTTGGTGAAATTGAGAATTAGTATAATCAGTAATTTTACAAGTTAACCTGATATTAAATCTATTTCTGGCATCACATGAATTACCTTTTAATGATTTTTGTGGATAAACAGTGTATTGACAATATCAACGATATAAATCCTACAAAAAGGAAAATAATACTAAAGAATGGTACTCAAGGACAGTCAAGGTTATTTTGATGAGGTTATTGAATATTTACTGCTGTAAAGTGTTTATCTGATCCTGATAAAAAGAAGGAACAAGAATCTGTATCTTAATTTACCAGTATCTAAAAATTGCAATGGTAAGAATGTTTTTATTGCTAAATATGGACTTGTGAATAAATTCAATGCCATTAAATTTGTAGGAATTTTTAAAAAGGACATGGATTGATTGTATATTTCAGAACAAATAATGGAAAGAGACAAGTACTTAACCCCACAGGAGGCCAAAGAATTTGGACTTATAGACCATGTACAAGAAATATCAGATATACCCAGCCCCAATAACTCTTAGCAAAAAAAAAATTATTTCCTTTGTGTTCAGTTTTGTTTATATATTTCTTTTCTATATCCAGAATAAATGCTAGAAAATTGAGTTGAATTTGAATTATTTTTTTTAGACATATGAATGTATTGTATTCATCACTTGGTGTTTTTATTGTGATAGATTGAAAATGTCCAGGACAAGGTAGGAAAAAGTGGTGATGAATTCTCACTAAATTATGTACGGATATCAAGTAAGCTTACATAAAGAATAGTTTTAAAACTAAGATAAATTCAAATTTATGAAAAAAAATTAGGTCAAGTTCAAAGGGAAAGCCAACATCAATATTTATGCTATTTAATAGGACTCACCACTAAAATGTATTAGCATTTGAGATTTGATGAAAAATTCTCAATTTCTTTTTAAGAAAAGGAAATCCAGCCGCTTCATGCAAAGAGAAAAGTAAGATCAAGGTTTAAGGAAAGGTCAAAATCAAAATTTTGATGCAGTTGAGTAAGATTCTGCAATGTCTAAAAAAAAGTAAAAAAAAATTAATAAAACCTCAAATAGTTTCCTTTAAGCTTAGCTAAACATTATAATATTTAAGAAAAGTAAGGTCAAAACCCATGGAAGGATCAAGGTAAAAAAAAAAAAAATTATGAATAGATCTCAACAGTATGTATCAGGCTATCAGTATATACGGTCTAATTAAAATAGATTCTTTGAAACAGGTAAACACGTTTTTAAAGGTGTAGTCAAGGAGAAAGGAAATGTCATTTCAGAAATTGTTCGTACAGTGAAACCTGTCTAATCCGACCTGTACTGATAGATGAATTTTGTGTCGGAAAACACAGGCTGTCGAATTACACAGTGTTAAACACTAAAAAAAACTAGTGAATGGAAAAGAAATTGTTCGTCCAAATTCACAGCGTGACAGATGGCAGGTGGGCGTTGGATTAGACAGTTCTCACTGTACATAAAGCATGCTCTTGCTGAGTTGCATGTCGAATCAACTGTGAGACGTAAACCCTGTACGCAGATGACAAGGGTATTTTGCTAGATACATGTACACACAGGAATAGGAAGGTGCTGTTAGAAGAGGTTTATCATATGTTTTGTTGAGAGGTTACCATTAACGTTTTTCCTGGTACAGAATCCAAATATAAAATAGATCATACTCTTTGGTATCTTTTTTTATCAATATATCGAGTGGATGTTACTATTGTTTTGACAATACTTTGTGGATATATCTAATATTTATGTCGAGTTGAAGCCCATATCATCTTTCCAAGAATACTTCTTTTTATTTTTTGAGAAAAAAATCTGCTTCATATGCATCCAGA